GGGGGGGGGGCACACCTCCCTGTCTGCCCAGTCCCCATTCCTCACAGCCCAGAATGTTCTGCTCCTCAGTCAGCTGAGTTTGATCATTTTTTCAGCCCCACCCCGGCGCCCTGGACTCCACCAAGGCTCAAAAACTGGGAAAAGGGCAGGATGGAGCCCAGCAGCAACTGGTGACAGAAAGCACCTGTCCTGGAGCACGTGTGTGTTCCTGCACGGGTGCAGTCAGATGCCTAAAGGAAGTGTGAAATTGGGAGTGGGATAAGGTAGCACATCTCTGGCATCAATGCCCACAGCACCTACACAGTCTAGTCTTGTGGGGCCCTCACCTGGCTCTTCCCTTGGGAGGCCAACTGTTGCTAGGGCTTTTTGCTGTGACCTGAGTCTGAACCTCCTTCCTGGAGCCCCAGGGAGGACCCTGATGCCTCCACCCTCCAGGGCTTCCTGGAGCCAATTTGGCCCCTCCTGCAAGGCCCTGGAGTAGCTCAAGGGATTTTGGCTCTGCCACTAACTCCCCGTGGGGCTGGTTTCACTCTTAACCAGGAAGTTGGGGGAGGGGAGATAGAATCCTAGTTGGGCTCCACTCCCCCATCCATCAAATCTCCCTGCCCATCTTCCCTTTAGAAGGGCATGCAGTGAGGTCAGATACCCTGTGTGACCTTGGGCCAGTGACAGCACCTCTCTGGGCTTCAGTTTTCTCATCTGTGAAATGGGGACAAAATTGCACCTGCCTCTCAAAGGGCTATTGCTAGGATTAAATTAGAGAAATAAACAGAGGGCCCAACCCAGGGCTGAGTCAGTGCTGAATACATGGGGCAGATCTTGTTATCATCCAGGCTGCCCCACCAACCAGAATATGCCCACCCACCTCTTAGAACCCCTTCATTTTGAGTGCCACCCCTTTTTGGCAGGCTCTTTCTGAAGCCCTGCCCACTTGGTTCCTATACTAGCTCATCCCCTCTCCCATCCACTTCCCAGCCCCTGAGTCCTTGTTTATTTTTGTATTTTTTAAAGTTTATTTATTATTTATTTAGAGAGAGAGTGTGATCATGAGCGGGGGAGGGGCACAGAGAGAGAGGGAGAGAGAATCCCAAGCAGGCTCCATGCTATCAGCTCAGAGCCTGATCTCACAAACCATAAGATCATGACCTGAACCAAAATCAAGAGTCAGACACTTAACTGACTGAGCTACCCAGGCACCCTCCCTGTTTACATATGTATATGCATGTACATATATACATACATATATGTGTATATATATATACACACAAACATATATATACATATATGTATATAAGTGTATATGTATAAATTAATTTTTTTATTAAAAAAGTTTTTTTAATGTTTACTTATTTTTGAGAGAGAGAGAGAGAGAGACAAAGCATGAGTGGGGGAGGGGCAGAGAGAGAGGGAGAGACAGAATCTGAAGCAGGCTCCAGGCTGTGAGCTGTCAGCACAGAGCCCGATACAGGGCCTGAACTCACAAACTGTGAGATCATGACCTGAGCCAAAGTTGCACACTTAACCAACTGAGACACCCAGGTGCCCCTTAATTTGTTTTATTTTTAAAACTAGGTTCCATGCTCAATATGGGGCTTGAACTCATGACCCTAAGATTAAGAGTCGTATGCTCTACTGACTGAGCCAACCAGGCATCCATCTAAGTCCCTGTTTAATCCCCTTGAAAAAAATTTTCTTTTTTCTGTTCCTTTCTCCTCTTTCTTCCACCCATTGGAAGAAGGGCCTTATTCAGGTATTTCAGCCCCTGTAGTGGCTGCTTCAGGCCAACCCAGTGTTATTTTTATCTCCTGAATCAATAACTGAGAGGCTGCAGTCCCATAGCAGGCTGAGGAGGGTGGTGGGGGCTGTTCCTGCCTATTACACTTTTTTGGGGTCCTGGCCTGTGTCCTGAGTGGAAGGACCCAGGTCTTCAGAATTCAGGCAAAGCAAAAAGAAATCAGGGCAAGAGCTATAGGGTCTTAGGGTCCACTCATCGTGATTTTCCTTTAATGTTGTTATTGCAATGAGAAAGTGGCATCAGGCAGGAGTGAGTCTGTATGGGCCATCCCTGACCCATGGACTGGCCCCTGATGCCATCCAGGCTTCCGGGGAGATTGCAGGGAGCCTGGCCTAGGAATGTAGCAGCTGAATCTGTATATGGAGCCAAGGACAGCGTGGGGGCCGAGAGTCAGGACGACCAGGCTCTGAAGCCAGAGTGAGAAGCCAGGCAGGTCACTGAGTTTCCCTCTGGAGAATGGGGAGCCTCCCATGAGCAGAGGCTGGGAGGGAGGTAGAAATCTGAGCATCTTGGGGAGAGAGTATGCAGAAAGCTGCAAGAGGCATGCACAGCTGGGAGTCTGCAGCTCTGGGGTCTAATCTTGGCTGTGTCACTGACATATTGTGTGGTGTGTGTGCTCTCTCTCCCTCTCTCTCTCTTTGGGTCTCAGTTTATCTAGTTGTATAAGAAAGAGGTTGGGCTGTTTCAGGTGACCCATTCTATGAGTCATTGCCTCTAACACCTGTACTTGGGGACTCGGCCTGGATGAGCACTTGGGCCAGAGCCTAGCCTCTGAGAGAGCCGGGCAGCTGAAGCCTGAAGTCCAAGAGCAGAGGTCAGGGCTGGCATTTGGCTTCATTATTGGTACCTCCTTCTGTCTTGTTTACAAATCCAGTTGGTTGTCAAGTCCTTCCCTTCACCCTGTCTCCCACTGGTCTTCCCCTTTCTGCCCCTTTCATCTCTCCCCTCGACCACTGCATCAGCCTCATCACTGGTATCCCTGCCTCCCTCCCCCTCCAATTCATACAACTGCTGAGTTTTTTAAAGAGCATGATGCTACTCAGAAACCTTCAGGGGCTCCCCACTACCCAGGAGGACAGGCCAAACTTCTTAGCTGTCCTGATACTTGTCAAGGTCTTCTGTTATCTGGCTCCAGCTGTATTTCTCACCAGCCTTAAGCACAGCTTTATCCAGTCAAATAGAACTTTCCCCGAGCTTTTGATTTCCTACCTTCTGGACTTTGCCATGCTATTTGCTTCATTTGGAATGCTTTCTCTACCCTCATTCCCCCGTAGTGTCTCAGCAGGTCTACATCTCAGCCTCAGGGAGTGGAAATGCTCCCTCCTCTGGGCAGCCTGGGGTGCCTGGTCTCCTTTATCACCCACACCTTAGGCTGAACATGATCCTACCCATGACCTCTCATTGGCCCTCTTCGTTTTCTTTTTTTTAATTTTTAATTTTATTTATTTTGAGAGAGAGAGAGTGAGAGAGTGTGAGAGCAAGCACGGGGGAGAGGCAGAGAGAGAGAGAAAGAGGGAGAGAGAGAGGATCCCAAGCAGGCTCCGTGCTGGCAGTGCGGAGCCCGGCATGGAGCTTGAACCCATGAACCGTGAGATCATGACCTGAGCCGAAACCAAGAATTGGGAGCTCAACTGACTGAGCCACCCAGGTGCCCCGGGCCTCTTCATTTTCTGTAAGTCTTAATGTTACCCCCCCCCCCCGCCCCCAACTATCTGTGTGTGTATCTTCTAGCTTGAGGGCTTGCAAGGTTTTGGAAGTGCTTGATGAACACTTAGTGGCAAAGGACAGGAATCCCTAAGAATGGCTCCAGGTTTTCTTCTGCTACTGAACCAGAGCCCTTTGCTCTAAAACTCATGTCTCATCTCCCCAAGACAAGTTTCCTCATCAGAAAAAGGGGTGTGACCCTCACTTGGCAGGTCTGTTGTGAGGTTTAGGGAGGCTCATGGGGGGCACTCCATCAGAGACTGCTGATGGTGATGACTGCTGATGGCCCCCACTGCCCACCATCCCTCCGGCCTCACCTGAGCAGCGTTTCTGCAGCCTCAGGATCTCCAGGTGCAGGTCTCGAAGCAGGGCCATCTGCTCCTTTTTCAGGAAGCTGATGTGGCGTTGCACACTCTGGATCTGATGCTCCAGGGACACGGTATCCATGGCAACCCAGGCCTGGGCCCCACCTGGGGGAAAGACGAGAAGGTAAGTCCACATCTTGTGGGGCCATCTGCCCTGCCCCCCCTCAGATCCCTCATAATGTCCTGCAGTCTGGGCTCCTGTTGCCACCACGTAGACAATTCTACCCCTGTAGCTCTCTCCCCCGTTTACTCACCAAAGCTTCATGCATGTGTCATCAGGGGAGTATGATTATTCCCATTTAATAGATGAAGAACCAGAGGTCTTCAGGGAACCAGGAACATAAATGGCTTCACTCCCCTGCCTGCATGTAACTTTAGCCTTTCTGTTTCTCAGGGAGGAACACGAATGGAGCAACAAAGTCAATAAAGAGAGACAGAGGCAGGTTCTAGCCTGCTTCTTAACCAGGTGTGTGACTCTGGGCAAGCCCTCTCCCTCTCTGGGCTCTTTGTTTTCTCATGGCTAAAATGAGGGAGTTGTGGAGTGGAAAAACCCATCCCGCCAGCATCCCAGCTCACCCACCAGCTGGTAGACCAGCATAATGGTTAGAGCACACCCTCTCCCAGTTCAAATCCATTTTTCTGACTTAAACTTAACCCAGGGCCCTGGGCTCTTCCAGGTCACAGAGGAGGAAGATCTGATGTGTATTTTACTAAGACGAACTCTATAGGCTGAAGGCAGGTGGCAGAGTCCTTTTTTAAAAGAGGAGTTGGATGGGGCGCCGGCTAGCTCAGTGGGTAGGGCATGTGACCCTTAATCTCAGAGTTGTGAGTTCCAGCCCCACACTGGGTGTGGAGATTACTTAAAAACAAAATCTGGGGCACCTGGGTGCCTCAGCTGGTTAAGCACCAGACTCTTGATATCAGCTGAGGTCATGAGATCGAGCCCCTCTGTTGGGCTCTGTGCTGAGCATGGAGCCTGCTTGGGATTCTCCCTCTCCCTCTCTCTGCCCCTGCCCCACTCACACATATGCTCTTTCTCTCTCTCTCTCAAAATAAATGAACATTAAAAATTTTTATTTTATTTATTGTTTATAGATTTAAAAAAAGTGTTTATTCATTTTTTGAGAGAGAGACAGAGCACAAGCAGGGGAGGGGCAGAGAGAGAGGGAGACACAGAATCCAAAGCAGGCTCCAGGCTCTGAGCTGTCGGCACAGAGCCTGATGCAGGGCTTGAACTTTTAAACTGTGACATCATGACCTAAGCTGAAGTTGGACGCTTAACCAACTGAGCCACTCAGGCATCCCTACCAAGTTTTTTCCCTAGTTGAGCCTTCAGATGAGAATGCAGCAGCCTTAATTTCAGCCTTTTGAGGCTTCGAGCAGAGGACCCAGCTAAAATGTGCCAGACTCCAGATCCTTGGAAACTTGTGAGGTAACAAACTGATACTGTTTTAAGCCACTTAGTTTATGAAAATCTTTAATGCAGCAATAGAAAAGTAATACAGACTTGAAGTAGGGGTAGAAGTTAGAAGAATAAAGAGAAGAACATTTGAGACAGTGGATAGCATTTGTGAAACCCTGAGGTAGGATAATAATGATAGCTTACATTTACTGTGTGCCTATTATGTGCCAAGCCTTATGCTAAGTGCTTCACATGGTCTTTTCGGGGAACAGAGACTTCGTCAATGCCAGTGAGGACTGAAGTGTAAGGTATTCGGGGAGGGCTGCAGGAAGAGAGGTTAGCAAGAGAAGGATCGGGCCATAGTCTTGTAAACTATGCCAAGAATTTTGGATTAATACTGAATGAATTGGGAAGTTATTATTATTATTATTTTTAAAGTTTTTAAATTTATTCTGAGAGAGGGAGAAAGAGAGAGTGAGAGAGCTGGGGAGGGACAGAAAGAGAATCCCAAGCAGACTCTGCACTGACAGTGCAGAGCTCACTGCAGGGCTCAGTCCCACAAACCATGAGCTCATGACCTGAGCTGAGATCAGCAATCAGATGCTTAACCAACCGGGCCATCCAGGCACCCCTGAATTGGGAAGTTATTAAAGGATTTTAAGCAGAGGAGGGACATTATATGATTTACATTAAAAAAGTTTTTTAATGTTTTATTTATTTTTGAGAGAGAGAGAGAGAGAGAGAGAGAGAGAGAGAGAGAGAGAGAGAA